AGAGATCTGTGGCACATTACACCTACAGTTACAACACCTCAGGTGACTTGTTTTATACACAAAAGACATCCTTCACAAGAAAAATGTGAGATATATGAATAGCTTCAGCCATTACATTCAATGCCTCACAGATGTTTTCCAGTGTACTTGAATGCATCTGGGGTTTCTTATCATTCTCAAGCTTATTTCCACAAGCAGAACTTAAGAATCATGGCTGAGACCTTTAATTACAAGTATCTTCACAACAAAATGCTGCTGCTGTACATTTCCTTCAACTGTGTGTCAAAATTCCAGCTACAGTTCTCTGGCTAATTAGGAAAGGCCTTTTAGACAGTATTCTAAGAACCACTGCTGACATTTTGTTCAAGGAAGTTGGAAGTAAGGTTTAGTCATCCAACCTGTCCACTGATTTCCTTATGCTCCAGTGTTCTTTCATGATTTCAAAATCATTTAAAATGGTATCACTAAACTCATTCATTCCACAGCTTTATCACACCTTTTTGATTCATGTTTAGRTTTTACTAAGGCATGTTTACAAGTATTTTGAGACTTCCCCAAGGCTGCTCTGACTAGATTGATATAAATGCAGGCAGGCCTGGATACTTAGGTCTGGTTCCCTTCCACTAAGCTCACTAAACATTGCACRTCAGAAGGCCCCAGTCACTTCAGACTTGCTGCAGATAAACAAGTTTTGAGTATTCATTATGTAACATGTTTTCAAGAGCTTCTAAAGCCATCCCCAACTAACTTTGTCAGACTAAAGAACAGCCACTGACATGAAAACTAATGTTTAAAAGTTTTAACTGCTTCTTACAAAAAAATGAAAGCATTGAGCACCTTTTAATCATCAAATCAAAATTCTTTCTCCCCTTCTCTCCAACTCTGATGTTTGCAGATCTACTAGTGATCAACAGTTGTACTGTTATGGGAGACGCCCACTATCACACCAGCTGGRATAACAGAAAATGCAACACATTACTCAGGTCAACCTAACAGAGGACATGAATAGCGCAACTTTTGCAATTTTTGTCCAGGATTTCCTGATTTTGAGCACMACCTCMCAATTTGCACCAGGACTTTTCACCAGGTTTGGCAACAATTCCTGATCCAGGTGGGTGAGTGGGTAGGGGACATTCTTAGGCACACCCTGAAAGCAATAGATTTGGATGGGACTCTGGGGTGCAGTGGGCTGGATCAGGCCCTGCCCTGAAGATCTCTCAAACATCCTTGGATAGAGCTGAYGGGCCAGAGTCCCCCACCCACTCCACAACCCCCTCAGTCCTTTGGCGCCAAGGGCTGCCCTGGGGACCAGCACAGCCATGGGGTCACGAGACCCGTTCCTGTTTTTATAAGGCTTTGGTGGGACTCAACAATGGGGATGGGAGGTCTGGACCTGTCCTGGGGTGACCTTGGGCTCTACTTCTGTGTTAACGATTGACAAGGTAGCTGAACAAGCCCGGACTCTGCCCATGTCCCATGGGGTCACCCCCATCCCAGTTGGGGTTCACTGCTCCAGACCCATCTCTCCCTGGACACACTCTCACATGCCCTAYGGTCCCATCAGGGGGAATTCCCCTGGGGCTGTGGACCCTGTCCCCATGTCTGTGTGTCTCTGTGACATAAGCTCCCATTCCCCCCACAGTGACCCTGCTTGGGGCCAGGTTCTGCCTTCCACACCCTTCTCCCCTCCAGTGCTCACAGTGCCTCTCCCAGCAACTGCTGCTCCTCCTTTCTCAGTTCAGTGTGGGACACCCCGTTTTGTGGGAAGCCATGCRGGGTGCTACGGTGCTAACTAATCCTGCCAAGGTTCTACCAGGTAGAGCCCAGAGGATGAAGGTGGCAGGTATGAGCATGGGCATCGGGCTGGGGGTAGGCACTGGGTGGCACCCTGAATCCCCCCAACACCCTCACGTGGAAAACCAAAAGGGGGGCTGCTCCGGGGCTGTTGTTGCTTGRGGGACAGTGGTGATTCCAAGGTGACAAGTGAAAGACCAGGACAGGGCCTGGTGTGGCCCCATTGCTGGAATGTTTTGGACACAGTGACCCACCCAAGTCTGGGGGTGTTGGAGGATGCTCAGCTCCTTTTTACCCAGAAATGCTGTAATCCCCTGACTTTCTCACAGGGACTATCCTCATAGGGAATTTGGGGGAGACAGAGGATCTGGGAACCCCAAAAGGAGGACACTTAAAAGCACAAGGGAGTCTTTTTTCCCTGCAAATATTGGAAGTAGCCTGATCTCATCTTCCCTTGCTGCTGGCTGGGGGTTGCCAGATGGCTGGTGTCACTCAAACCCTCCATGCTGATGTGGGAGGGTCAGTGCTTGGGGGGGAACTTTCCCACCAGGGGACGCATCAAAAACCCCTGAGCGGACTCACAGTGGTGAGGTGTCCCTCAGTTGCAGCAGGTGAGATAGAGAGGGTTAGGGAGCATTCCTGAGGCAGGGGGGACATCYCTGCTCGAGAAAGCAACACCAGGCAGAGCAGGGAGTACCACAGCTATCCCAGGAGAAGGTATAGCAGGGGCCTGGTTGGAGTCAGGGTAGCCATAAGTGGACACAGGCCAGTGGCCAGATGGGCTGAGGAGCTGCAGGGGATAGGGACATTGCCTGCTTTGGAGGGGASACACAGGGTGGAGGTGGGTGCAGTTTGGGATAGACTGGTGGTCCTGACCTGGTGTCCTCCCCCTGCAGCCACCCACGCTGTCAATGGGAACCCCACAGTTCCACCGTTCCCACCACAGATGCAGATCGCAATTTTCGGTGAGTGGTTTCTCCGGTGCCACGGAAAGCGGTGTCCTGGAAGGTGGAGCTGCCCTGCTCAGCCTGGCAGCTGCGCTCACCCTTCCTGTCTGTCTACCCACAGGCATGGGATGCTTCTGGGGGGCTGAGCGGCTCTTCTGGAACACTCTGGGGGTCTTCTCCACCCAGGTGGGGTTTGCAGGAGGCTTCACCCCGAACCCCACCTATGAAGAGGTGCGCACAGGTAACAAGGGGCTTCCTCTCCCATGCTGCATGGGGACCCTCCAGTGGCCCTCACAGCACCCACAGTGGGATCTTGTCCCCATCCATCATTGCAGAATATCCCACAACCCCTGTCTTTTCATGGCCTGGATCCCACAGGATGCTCTCTGGTGTCCGTTGGATGATGACACTCCTGTCCCGCACCCCAGGCCCCCCAAATTCCTCTGCCTGCATAGATGGCCCTGGTTTAACTGGACAGATATTTTGCAGAAAATTAGCTGTCTGCAGGGAATATTATGCCAGATGCCATGTCCAGCCAGGGRTTTCTAACACTTCCTCTATCTCCAGTGTGAGATGCACTTGGGTATCCCACCCCCACCAGGCACCTGGGGAAGTGCTGCAGCCCCTCCATATCCTAATCCCTCCCTCCAGCCCTGTCATTCCAGGGTAGTGGGAAGTTGCAGGAAATGGGTTGAGGGGCTGCAGCACAGTTGGCTGTGGCTGCAGGGCTGACTGGGCATGCCGAGGTGGTGAGGGTGGTCTTTGACCCCCAGAAGATCAGCTACGAGGAGCTTCTTAAAGTCTTCTGGGAGAACCATGACCCCACTCAAGGTAGGGAGGAGCCCCTGGGGCTGGGCAGTGGGAGGGTATGGGGGGTGGCTTAACTCCAAATGGGCTCCAACAGGAGATCCTTGGCATCTCCCCACTTTGGTGCTGGATTCTGGGAGGGTCTAGCAATCACTTCCCTCACTGACGCCTTTAGCAGGACCTCCCCGCCTTGCCCTCTGTGCCTCAGTTTCCCCACCAGGGGTGAAGGCAGTGTCCAGCAGGGTCCAGGGAGAGCTCGGTGGGGTCAGGGGAGTGCCTAGTGCGGCCTGGTTACACTCCCCCATAACCCTCCTCCTCGGTGCTGCCCACCAGGGATGAGGCAGCAGGAGGACGTGGGTACTCAGTACCGCTCTGTCATCTACACGCTGGACTCCCAGCAGCAGGGAGCTGCCCTCCGGAGCAGAGACATGTACCAGCAGGTACTGGGAACACTGGAATCCCCTCATAGGACGCACAGATTCTGAGGGTGACACTGGGACCYCCTCTGGTGATACTGAGACCCACCCCAGGGACACTGTGACCCTGTCTTGTGGACACTGGGATCCCTTCCGGTCACAATAAGAGGCCTCTGGAAACTCTGAGACCTCCCTTGGAGACACCAGGACCCCTCCTGGGTCRCCAGGTCGCCCATGAAGACACCATGAGTACCCCTGGGGATACTGGGACGCAGCCTGGGGACACTGGCCCTCCCCCAATAAAGACACTGTGAGCCCCTGGTGAGATCAGGGCCCCTTCTGGGGTCACTGTGACACTGGCCACTTTCTTGGGACACAGCCACCTTCCCCAGCTTGGGATTGATTATGGGACAAGAGCCTTAGCTAGCTGTCCATGTCATGTGTGGGCCAGTGGGAGGAGTCCCTGCAGACTCCACCTTCCATGGGACTGTCCTAGGAACTGGGAGCACAGCGGCACGGGGACATCACGACCATCATTGAGCCCGCTGAGGACTTCTACTATGCTGAGGACTACCACCAGCAGTACCTGCACAARCAGCCTGGGGCCTCCTGTGACCTGAAGGGCACTGGGGTCAGCTGCCCTCTCTCCTCCTGAGGGGCTGCCTCCTGCTCTCTGGCCTGTCCCAACATCCCTGGTGCTGCTGMCACCCCACAGTACCCATGTGCCCCATTGCTCCCTGTGATTAAACTCCTATGACCCTCACCCTGTCCTGGCCAGTCCCATGACTGTGGCTGGTGGGGGTCCCGACAGGTTGCTGGTGTGGGGGGGACACACCCACGGGTGGTATTTGGGGGAGGATGGGTCTATGATCTGCCCCAGGCGAGGATATTGAGGGTTGGGACTTACTTGGTGATAGGGAGTGGGCTGGGAGGGGCTGGACGGTCCCTGGTGCTCCTGGGGTTGATGGTTATCGGGGGGGCAGGGGGAAGAGGCATAGGACTGCAGTCCAGGAAAGCTGTATGGGGGCCATATCCATGTGCCCGTGGCACTGTGCAGTTCCTGGGTGCTGTGTCCGTGCGTGTCTGTGGGTCCATGTCCGTGGTAGCCGTATCCATGCGCTTGTGTGTCCACGTATGCCTTGTCTATGGACCGGTGAGTCCGTGTCCATAGGTCCGTTTGTCTGTGTCCACGAGTCCCTGTTAGTCGGTGTCCGTGGGCGCTGTCGGGCGGAGACTGCAGGGCCGCTTTCTCCATCAGATGGCGGTGTGAGCCACGCCACCCGCACGCCGGGGGCAGCAGCGGCGCAGCGTGTGCGTGCCTTCACGGTACGAGCGCGCGCACACAAAACATAGCGCACGCCTGTCTAGGTGCGGGTAGCACACGGGCACAGAAGGGAGAAGCGCGGGCATGCTCAGGGACATACAGGTCACCTACACACACCTACGTACATGKACGGGGCCGTACGGCTCCCATACGTACCCGTATGTGCATGCTCAGGTGCTGCGTGCCTTAACCTCCGGCTCCCACATCCCTGCAAGATGCTGACTGTTCCCCCAACTCCACAGATGGGGACACAGAAGTTGTCATCGTGTCCCCACGTCACAGGGGCCGAGCCTGGCATGGGACTTTTCCCCAGCCCCACAGGAGAGGGGAGGCACATTGGGACATTTCGGTAGGAAATTAAGGTGCCTGGGTCAACAGACACTGAAAATGAAGCAGTGAGAAGGCAAGTGCAGGTCAGCTTCCAGCACCTGGCCCCACAGCTGCCACGGCAGCCGGCTCTGTAGAAGGAGTTCATCCCAAGGAATCGTGCTGGAGAAGGCATCTGTACTGGGGTTTCAAGGCAGAGGATGACTGGGATGGGGATGCCCAAATGTAAGTCTTTGTGGGTTGTTGTCCTGGGCCTCCTGCACCCCTCTCCCCAGCTGCTGGAGTCAGGGGATGAGATAAGGAGAGCGGCCAAAGGACAGAGAAACCAGTGGAGATTTGGGCTGGACCTTATAATTCCAGGCTTGGATTCTGTCTTTCATTCCCACAAGGAGGGTAGAAGCTGCTTTTAAGACCCTGACTGGGGAAACTGACGCAGGGGCAGTCACAGTGCACGGGTTTGAGAATGCCCCCTGCCCCC